ACTAATAAAGTCACACCAAAAATGAGTTTACTTGTTAACTTAAAAAAAAGAAAGGGGCCAAAGCTATAAATAATATATATTTTTCAAATGGAAGTTTGTTCTTTTATAATATATAACCTTTATAATGTATAACATAAAAAATGTTTTTTATAAGTAGTATTTTCCCTGTTTTGTTGAATTGCATATAATAACTCGTAAAATCACACAAAAACAGAATTCATTTACTTGTTAACTGTAAAAAACAAAACTAGATAATGTTCACATGAAAAATCTGTGTTTTTACAAATGGTAATTGTTCTCGTGCAATGTTTGACCGTGGAACTTTTACTTTACTTAAAGTAGTTAAAAATAGAATTATTTTACAGATATTTATACAATTTGTACCATTTTTTTGCAATTTTAATATATTGCAGTATTGCACCATATTTAATGTGCAAACATTGTAAAAATAACTTTCACCTGTACTTTTTAAAATGTATTTATTTATTAGTATTTTACACATTTTCCTTGTTTTGTTGAGTTACGGAGAGTAAGGATTAAAATCACAGAAAAAAAAGAATTTCCATTTTGCTCAAAAACAAAGCAAACAAAAAACAGGCCAAAACTTTAAATAATGTTCACATCAAAAATCTGTATTTTTATAAATGGTTGTTACTTTTTTCAAATGTGGGACTGTATTCTATTTTTTTGGTACACCATTAAGTGCATACTCTGTATAATGAAAACTAAAAAAACTAAGAATTTTTCTGTTAACTGTAAAAGAAATGTAGCTAATATCTACATTGAAAGTGAATATTTTTAAAAATGGAATTTCTTTTATTTGACAATGTGTGACTGTAACAGTAAACTGTTTCACTGTGTATAAATCAAAACATTTATGTTTTTCAACTAATTGCAATAAGTTTCACCATTTGTACAGTTTTTGAAAGTTACAGTATTTTACCATTTTTTATGTATTTTTCTGACCCATGCTGCCAATTTTTAGGTTTTTATTTTACAGATTTTTTTCATTTTATTTTTTTTAGTACAATACACTGGAGACCATTCCTTTGTGGTTGTGTAATTATGACTAAACCCAGTGGACACACATTTTAAAGCCTTTACAGAACTGCATCATCAGCTGAAAGTAGTCAGTAACACACACAC